TATATATATATATATATATATATATATATTTATATATACAGAATTAAAACTTTCTTCTATCTATAGCTATATGTAAATCTTTTTCTTTGAGTATGTATCTTCATTTATAACTACTTTTTGCTATTTTTTGTCGAAACTACCAGAACCCAAAAGGAAACTTGTTGCACATTGTTTTCCTATTTGCGTACGTTATTAGTATGCAAAAGGTAATCCAAGTAACTAAGAGTTGTCGCCGCAGCGGTTAGAGAAAAAGTGGTGGAGAGGAAACTTACATTTTTAATTGTTAGTTTTTTTTAAATTCAATGTGATTTCGAGATAAAAAAGGAAACACTGTTGCGATAAGAATCAGCAGTGAGTGTCAGTGGTAAAACCGATTGTGAGGATTTTAAAGCAATACGACAAGTTTGAAAAAATTTTCTTTCTACTCAGTGAAAAAAAAAAGAGGAATTTTTTTTTTCTTCTTCATTTTTTGTCCTTTTTTTATTCAAAAATAACCTTTGATGGCCTTGAAAAGCTAAGCAGACTCATTGTCAACCAGTACGCTAGTCTCTTCATTCTTCTACTTTAATTAACATTGGAAAATTTGATCATTTTTTTTCATGAAATTGATACTGTTATACGGTCTTATAAGTTGTAGAGCCATTTCTTCTAGTCATTTAAACAGTCTCTACTTTTTACTTTTTTTGATTATTTGTCTATCGCCTTTGTAATTTTATCAATTTGCTGTTTTATACTTTCATTAATATCAAAAAATTTAGTTTTAATCCCATAGAAGTAGGCTTACTGCTATTGAATATGCACCTTTAGTAGGTTGTCGAACAAAGCTTTTTTAGACAATTAAACTGTACAACAGCACTCTTAGTTGAATTGAATTGAGGCTAACGTATAGACTCAAGACAGTTTTACTAGCTACTAGCTGTTAATCAAACTAAAAAGAATGCAATTAAATACCACTGTTATCTCCAAAAATATCGGGATCATCAGCTAAAATAAACCTAATATCTTCTGTAACTTGACAGTTTTCTGTGTTGTCACAGTTATTTTTTAAAGCGCGGTAATGCCTATTAGGACGGTCAGCGCAGACAGAGACAGATTCAAAAAAACTGTTGGGCTAGAAGACCCCTAAAGAGCATTGCTTGAAAACCATTAGTTTAGATACGGCTTTAAACTTGTATTAACCAAGTAGTAAGCTTAGTATTGGCCATTTAACAAACAAAAAGTGAAAAACAAAGCAGTTCTTACTGGTTATGTAAACAGAAAAAAAGATTGGAGCATTTACGGCCGACTTAATACTGTAATGCGTTGAGTAAAACGACAAAATTACGGCACATGCAACCGCCGTATAACCATAAAAAACTGATACTGACTGATAGCTATATATCTCATTATCATATGTTTAAAAAATTAAAAAAAAGCAAGTACGGAGAGAATGTGCAACTGAGCGAATTTAGCTGCTTGCTTTACTCATACCGTTAATTTCAGTTTTCACATACGTATTTCACAGCTGACGTTATTAGCAACAGCGAGCGAAACAAGACAAGCAGACGGGAAAGTCGTTATAAATTAAAACTGATTTATTTCAGCTTCCCGTTACGAGATGCGTTGGTGGATGCTTCTATCTACATTCTGTCTCCTAAGCGTCTCAAAAACAGGCGCAGATCCAGGATCAGTCATCAAAAAAAAGTATTGTGCCGATGGAAGCAAAGGTAAACACTTAACTCATCAAATAGCTACATAAATAAAGAAAACTGGTAACCAGTTACAACAACAACTTTAGTGTACCCAAGCAACACATTCTGCTCTTGTAACCTTTGATTCTACGAAACTAAGAAGCTAAACAATTGGAAGAACTGTAATGACAATAGTCTTCAAATGAAGATCTCAAGTAAATCCCCGCTAATAATTTGTAAGCATATCTGTTATTGTTCCGTATCAAATGTAACTGTTTTCCAAATTCCTTTCTAAATTTTACTGATTTGTAATGTTTAGTAAGCAAAGGCTTGGATGCGTAATTAAGGATTTCGCAAAGAGTAGAAGTAGTTTTTTTGCTAGACAGTTTCATAAATAAACTTGGTCGTATTTGTTCATACTTCCCAAGGTCAAATTTTCATACTATTGACCTTCAGTTTTAAAAAACCATTCACTATCGCTTTAAATCTGTTGAACTTTTTCGCGCAAATCTTGCTACTCATAAACATATAGATACTACCATTAAAAAATTGTAAAAACAAAAAAATTTGAACAAGATTATATTTATTTTTGAACGCAGCAAAAATGGTCACGCAGAGCTTAGAGTTGTTTCAGGTTATTCTGGTGACCTGCTGCAAAAATGGTGCTATAAGTCACAAATATTATCAAAAATGCCTGCTTTATTTACAGAACTTCTCAATTCTCCACTTTCAAGATCAATGCTAAAAAACAAACAAGAAATTCAACAACTTCTTGCTAATAGTCGTTGGCAATTACCTAACTTTCTCTTTTGCAAAAAAGTTTTAGTTTTTGGAAACCCAAAACTGTTAACTTTTTTTAAAAATAGTTCTATCACCATTTTTTAAAGTAAATATCCCTGGTATTTGATAAAAAAGATATCAGTGGTTCTCCATTGTCATCGATTATAAGTTAAATTTATTTACAGAACACACTTAGTGTTTACAGAATCAACCAGTTAACCAAATCTACAACTAAAAAAATTCCAAAAACCGCATCTACAAACACGATTATTCACATTAGTGATTTTTAAGCAATTTTTCTTACGAGTTACCACACTCTGGATTCCTACAAGAAGAAACAAACTGTGCTACACTTATATAACGAAAAACCTATTAGTGTGATAGCCGTCAACAGACTCATGCAGTCAGAAAACTGATTTTGTAGTCTTTAGAATTCCTGACTATTCCTGCCCCAGACCGCAACTAGTTCTTTAAACTTCCTAACCAAATTAACCATTTCCATCCATTACTTTTCTTGAAATCTTTACTACGTGTTCAAATGTTAGAGCCTTCTTCCTTAAACTTCAAACAATTCCAACCTATTTCCAGTACTCTAGTACGCCTCCATTAAGAGCAAACAGCTGCTGACCGTCGTAATCTGTAAACTGCGCACGTTTAAAACTAAACTTCACAGATGTCTCGTTTTGTTCGTCCATTGACTTCATTCTTATTTAGTTACTGCGATTTTTAATGGAACTTATAAGTAGTCAGAAAATTTCAAAAACACTGATACTATTACTACTACTGTTATTGCTATTACTATTGCTATTCCTACTACTAATAATACCACTGCTACTATTATTACTTCTGTTATCGCTGTAGTTGCCATCACCATTACAATTACTATTTATTATTAATATAACAAAAATACCCAAAGCTGCTAAAAAACAGAAAGTTCGACACTAAAACAATAAACCTGCATCGAAAAGCGTTATCCAATGATAAGCTTAAAAGTGAACTAAAAAAACTGTCTATCAAATATACTTATGCTAAATCTTGACAAAATTTCTATAAAAAACAAACCATTTCTTCAACGAATTACCATATTTATTGAATATTAATCCACTTTTCAGAATTCACGATCATGAAGCACATCAAGCAAAATGAATGCTTATGCTCGTGTAAGTGCGTACCTGAGAATTTATCGAGACAGGAAAGTATGCATGTCGTGGTTGATACCGTTGCTGAATCACTGTCAAAAAGTGCAGAAAAGATAGAGGAGAAGACAGAGACCACTGCAGCGAATAAATCTGAACAAGTAACATTAACAACTATACCAACCACAGAAAGTTCTCTGAAAGTTATAAGCCCATCTGAATCCCATGAAGAACTGGAATCGAGAAAAGACACAGACGACGACAAAGGTGTACAGTCCAAAGTCGCCAGTAAACCACTGCCAGACAATTTATATAATCCGGAAGACTCGTTGCAAACCACCACCATGAACAGCATTGAAAAAAAGAGGCCTGTAGAAGGCAGTGGAACAAACGTTTCGTTAGATATCCCGGTAAACAGCCATAATCTAACGACAACAACGGAAGAAAACTCAATACTTTTTGACACCAATAAAGATGCAGCAAACGAAGCGGAACTGGCCACTCCTCAGACAGACAAAATCAATGTAACTATTACCGAAAGCAAAGACAAAAACAGTCTAGAAGCACCCACCACATATCAAGACAAAACGACAGACATGTATACAGTGACTTCGAGGAATGGCCAGACTGGAATAAACGAGTTCTTCCATCCTTCTACTCTTACAACTACTGGTTTATTCAGTTACACTACCGAAGTGTCAAGCACAGAGATGAACACAGAAGCTAATGACTATACTGCAGAAGAAGCTTCAAAAACAACAGCTCTTCCAATTAGTAGCAACAAGCTAGAGACGAAAGAGTTTATGGATGTCCCGCAGTCAAATGGGAAAACTGAATTTAATAAAAATAAAGAAAGCGCAATTCAGACGACAGATAGTGCCGTCGAAATGCGTACTTCAATTACAGAGCTTCTCACAACCGAGCTTTCAACAACTCCATCTTCGACTAATGCCAACAGTGGTAATCCAGAAAATGCATTAACAGAAGTGATTACCGACCGAATAACAACAGATACTTATTATTCTCAGGGCTATGAAACAACAGCATTACCAGACGTTGTCAACGCACAAGCGAATGTTAATTCCCATTTAAACGCAGAAAAAGAGGAACAATCTTTAACTAATATAGACGAAAAGCTTTCGAAAGACACAGCTGAGAACAAGCCATCCACGCTTCCAATAGGCGAAAAACTATTAGGAAACAGTGAAGAAAAATCGGTTGAAACTACAACAGAGAAACCAAAATCACTGAATGTGTCAACACAAGGAAACCTTTTACAAAATCCGGCAGATGTGACATCAAGAACCTCCGCAGTCAATAGGACACCGCTCACAATTCCATTTAACGACCAATTTGCAACGATCACGACAGAAATGAACAAAAACCCAGGACCTCTGCCAACTGTGGAAAAAAAAGATAAGCTTTTCACAAGTGCCTCACTTGAAAAGAATTCCTCGAATATATTAAGCAGTGAACAGTCAACACTTGAAAACACCACTGAGCTCTTAACCACAGTAGTAAAAAATAGTGGTCGACCAAAAGTTAAAGTAGGCACTACATCGTTACTGTTAGTCGGTGAGAACTATGGTGCGGCCGATGAGGAAAAACATGAATTATCATCAAACATAACACTGACTTTGCTCCTTTCTCGAGGAACAAAAGGAAGCTTCAAAGAAAAAAAAAAA